TTACAGGCTTCAGGGTAAAGCAAAATTCTGTGTGTTTTTGTTTAAATTCTGTTAATACTTCATTCTTAGGAAAATGTGTGTGCTTGTGTGTACTGCAGAGTTAAAATAAACTTCCGTGTTCCTTAATTCTAAGCATTAGGATTGTATACTCGTAATATCGTAATACTACACCAACGGTATAGAGCTAAAAGTAAACTATCAACCTGTCAAATTTAGATTAAAGATCCTTCAATGTTTTTCCTAAAACTAACGTTGTAATTTTTTGACGTTCCTGTGGCCTGTAGAGGTAATTCCATAAAAAGGAACGGTAATGTTTATCAGGAACCTGGTAAACCGTGCGCTATTTGACATATGACGCGCGGTGTTTGAGTTGACTGTAAGATAGTAGGTATAATGTCAGATGTGACGAAAGAATGCAATTGTGATTCTCGCTCCCCGGCCATTGGCAAGGAGAGGAACACCGAGGTGGTTTTTAGTCGGTAAGAGTCCGACAGACCCCTTCGCCATTCCCCACTGGGCGAAGGACATAGGTACATGAGGATCTTACACCCCGATAAAAAAAAAGGTATAATGTCAGATGTGTAGGGGTTATTACATAGGCAACGAGGCGACGCACACTTTGGTCGCATCGGTTATAAAAAGCCTTTTGACACGTAGGACGCAACAACATCTCTGTGTGTTGTGAATAAACAGTGTAAGAATTAGGTACCACCTTTCATTTAACATCATCACCTAAAGATGTAACACATATACAATTACTAGAAGACATAGAAATTATTGCTACTTTTACATCATATTGATGATATGATTGGTTTTGGTCACTGCGATCTCGCCTGCGATAAACCAGTACTTAGATTTGGTCATAGACAAAGATAAATGCTATCGAAATCAATCAATACGACCTTGTATTCATTTTTTTAGATTTAGTCCTTTCGGCGCCAGCGTAATAATAATAATTAGTCGAAGTAATGTTGTCTATGAGACACAGGTGTGCTGAAGTGATTTTTGAATCATATGATAAATCACATGCGATTGTGATTTTATCTAACGTCTAATTACTAAGTTCGCTCGTTCACTCAATCACTTGTTGTTGTTCACGAAACTATATTAGGGTCAGTTTTAAGTCCACTACGATAAGGCTGAACTTCAATTTGTTACTGCCATCAGATCGCCACAAGTACTAGGCGATATCGAAGTTCTGTAGAAAAAACGAATAGCTTCCGATTTATTCAGTTTTTATTCCGTAAAGAAAATGGTGACAGTATCAGCGAGTATTATGAAGTCTATACTACCATTCTCCATAAAGGGTCTTACAGCCGCGATAACGGTGTACCTACGCACTAAGAATAAGGTTCTAAAACATAGATAAAAATAGTTCAGTAAACCTAAAAAATTACATAAGTAAAGAAGGTTTCCACCATTAACCTTCTGGCTTTATAATCAGACTATTTTTACTTAGTTTACAAGTAAAAACTAAAGAATCTCACTGCTAAGCTCCTGGCTCTGACACTGCATCAGCTCAAAGATACCAAGGAGGCGACGTCCGTGTAGGAGGCGATGTCCGTATGTGCCGAACGTCGCCTAAATAGAGAATTTACCGTGGTGCCCGCGCCATTGCGGCCATGCGCTAGGAAGGGTCAAGATGTCTTAATAACAGCAGTTCCCGGATCCCTCCTATTACAGGCGTAAAGTGGCACACCATGTGGTTTTAGTCGGTCCGAATTCGACACACCACCCTGCCGCCAACCCCGGTGGGGTGGCGGCCCGAGGGGGTTACCAGACTTAAAAAAAAGGTCGGAGAGATCAAACTATAGCGTTGTTATCCAAATTACACGTATACATATAACGTGTAACATCTATACGATAGCTAAAAGTACGTTAAATTTATTTTGCAAGATTTGGTTACATAAATGCCATCAAAATGACCATATTAGTTTAAATCAATACAACGTACACAATGCTAGCCGTTCCCCGTAGCTTCACCTGCTATGATCTTTGCTCCGATCCTAAAGGTTATAGCGTGATATTTATAACCTATATTACCCTTAATTAGTTAATTAATATAATCATCAATAAATAATTTAACCAATAAAAAAGAATCATTGAATTCTGACTGATAGTTCTATAGATTTTCGCCTTTTAACATCCAAACTTACAAAAAACTCTTTGGCTGTAATATACTAGTATTGATGCTACAGATATATGAACCTCGAAATAACAAGATATTACGGTTTAAAAGAACTTATGCACATTTTATATTTATTGTACTTTAGATCCTAAATAAAACCATTAAATATTGTATCAATATGAACGAGAGTTCGCGGACACCACTACAGTGCGTCATTTACACAAACCATTCCAATCCATTTAACACACAGAAAAAGTCAGACTAGCAAAAATAAATATTCGTTTAGGTACACAAATTTTCGAAGTAAACTGGGAAGCTAACCTATAGCATTATAATCGAATACGCGACCCCGCCACGTTATCTTCGTAATATCAACCGCTTTGACGATGTTTCTTTACCCACAATTTCATTTAATAAAATCTTTCATTTACTATCTCCAAGAATAGGGTCCAACATATCCCCTTGCTCAATATAAAAGTGAATAAAAACAATATGAAAGGCATAAACATATATTATATTAATTTTATTAATGGCGTATTTGCGCCCTTTATCTGATATTGTTATATTTCAAATATAACTGAGAAGATAAAAGAATATGCAGTTATTATTATGTAATATTTTTTATGTTACAACTACATATATAATAAATAATAACCTTGCACATCTCACACACGGCCGTCTGATACCAAACTAGGCGGAGCCTGTACTATGGTAACCAGACTGATGATAAACATACTTATATATTTCTAAATGCATACATATTATAGGAACAAATTATCGTGCTCATCACGCTTCAATTATTTGTCCTGGTTGGGAATCGAAGCCACGACCAGAGTTTAGCAGTCAATATTACTAACCACTAGACTCGCCACAGTTGACATGACATTTGATTTCGCCTTTTTTCAGTACGTAATAAATTTGTGAAACTCAGTATTTGCTGCCAATACTTTCATATTTACGTGTATATGTATTGAAATCCGGCTTTTCAAGATTGTGACGCATATGAACATACTTTTCAAAGGGTAGGTATGTAGATCTACTTTTTCTGAAAAACAACTGTTATCGGAACAATATTCTGCGTTAACGCTTAGACTAGCAAAAGCTAGTTAATTTATATAAATGAGCCATCAACAACTATAAGACAAAATATATCATTGTTCAATGATAATGTCACGAACGTTATGAATATTAACGATTGTGAAAATTTATCAAACTGATAGATTAATAGTAACGAGTAATGGATGGTTAAAACAAAACACAAAGAACGAAATTCAAAGTATAAATTGATCTAAGTCAATGTTGTAGTGGGTTTGATCCCAAAACGCAAGTCGGATGTTATTCATCATATGCGAGTACTGTAAATCCGTTCGTTTCTTTTACTTCATTTAAATGCAAACAAATCTTTGTAGTCTATTTCCATTTAAATAATTATTTCATCAAATTGTAGCAGTCTTTCTATTGTGTTCTCTAGATCTTTATTATTTTACAATGGAGCAAACAAGCAGACGAGTCAACTAAGGATAAGTGACTACCACTGCCCCAAAACGACATCACTTCCTACGACTACTAAAGTTTTTTATTCACATATAAAATGCGCGTTCTAAAATTTTAAATTTTAACATGTGACGTCACAAATCTTTTGACTCCTCTTGCCTCTTGTCACACGATGTCACATTCCGGTGATACAATCCCCCTTTAATGCTTAGGCCCCTTAGGCCCCTTAGGCCAGTAAACCATTTATTTGGTGAAAAGCAAAAAGAGAATAGTTTATCACCTTCCTTCCTACCACCTTCCTATGAGGCTGTGGTATCCCTCTGGACAAGGCGGCTCATGTGTGAGGAAACATGTCTCTTCCACAATAAATATGTATAATTATTTATTTAGAAATATTTAAAAAATTATCATAAATGATTATAAACAAATTAAGTATGTCGTATCAATATTATCTAATTATGTCTTTGTATATATATTTCAGCCACAAAATAAATACTAATAAATACTGGGTATAATACGGTAATAAATCCTGGGAAACACTTACCGTAAGAAGGACTTAGTGCTCTTTTACCGACTTCATCATCAACAGCCTTTACTAGTCCACTGCTGGACATAGGCCTCTGCTTAGAAAGGATGTTTTGGCCTACTATACCACGCTGGCCAGACGGGGCGGTCTTCTTAATCCGTCACTACACGGACAAGTACACATACAAGTAACCGGTAATAAATACTGGGAAACACTTACCGTAAGAAGGACTTAGTGCTCTTTTACCGACTTAGTAGTTTAAAAAACATTCCTCAAGAGCTTGCTCTGCTATCATAAAATCTACCCTACATTTATGACAACTATAACAGTTAATAGTCCTTACATAAAATGTTTCAGCAACACTAGTCTGTTTGTTTGTGAAACAGACATAGCACTTGATATGAATGTTGAATGAGCAAAGCCGCGATACGCCCAGTACACACACCATAAAGTCCCATGGGCTTGTTTATGGGACGTCGTTTTGGTCAGTAGTCCCTTTGTGTTGGTTTGTAGTAGGATACCTGCTACCTACTTATTCGTACATCTATAATGATTACGGCAATTAATAGTGTATTTAAAAAAAAAACTTGTACATTACCACCGCTATCTAAAACCTATTTTTTAATTAGTATCTTAACTTGGAAAATTACTAGTAAGGGACCAAGCTGGCAATATTTCTGTCAACTAATTACCCCATTTGCTGACATTAATGCTGGTATTAAAGATATAATTAAAATTATGTTTCACGAGAACTTGACTATTTGAATATCATTGCTATTGCTGCTTGCTAATAATAATATAATTTCAGCGTTACTTAAATATGAATTTCTCTCTTGTTACAGATATCACAAAATGGGACCTAGTCGGACCTGTATCATCTTCTTAACGATCCAACTTGTCTCACTGGCAGCCGCCCAAGAGATGGAGAAACGAGTACCTCAAGGTTTCCTTGGCATGCGAGGCAAGAAGGACATGGAGGATGAACTCACTGAACAGTTTTACAAACGAAAACCTCAATTTTTTGTAGGCGTTAAAGGAAAAAAGAGTCTGCATGAGATCCTAGAAACCGGAGAGGAGTTTTATAAAAGAGCTCCAATGGGCTTTATGGGAATGCGTGGTAAGAAAGAAGCAGTATTCCCAGACTTTCAAAGCACCGAAAACATTCCTAAAAGAGATGGATCTTTGATTGGTCAAATTGACTATTCTTCTAGAAATAGGGATAATTACCACCAGGATACCTTTCCTATCTTCAACGACATACTGACACAACTTTTAGAGAAGATGACTCGCCAGAATCCGACTACTTACACGCCTGAGATTGACAACGATGTGGAACCTGTATTCGTCACAAATGAGATAGCTAAACGCGCCGCAAACATGCATCAGTTCTTTGGCATGCGCGGCAAGAAATCTTTGTACAATAAGCGACCTTACGATCTTTCATTCCGAGGCAAATTTATCGGAGTTAGGGGCAAAAAGGATTTGAGAAACTCCGGCCTACGTGAGATTAAGTTTTTACTGGACAACCCGCTGCCAAAAAGGAAGAGTCAGTTGGGGTTTTTTGGAATGCGGGGCAAGAAGTGGATGGCCGCCGACGGTACGTTTTTACTGCATTTGTTTATTGTAACGTGTTTAATATTCACGTTGAGGGATAATGAAAGGGCAAGGTCACGCACTATGGGGACGAGTGTGGTGAATAATTCAGCACGTTCTTTGCTTAACTAATACATCTAGTATCAATAGTCTGTTTTTTTGTGCGTTTTCATTGATACAGCACTATTATGAGTTCGGTACCTGTGAGAAATAACAACAAAACCAGTTTGACGATGTTTCCCTCGTTATAATACACACATACTGATTGAACGCCACCCGTGCACATTGGCTGCACTACTACGCTGGGTATTGTGGGTTCGATCCCCACATGGAACGACACTTTGTGTAATCTACAAATTGTTGTTCTGAGTCTGGTTGTTCTTTGTGTCCGTTTCATGTATGTTTGTAAAGTCCCCCGCGACACAGGATATATTCCTAATGCGGGAGTTGTTTTTTTTTTAAATATGCATAGGCCACTTGGCCTAGTCTTTGTAAATTGAACACCAACCTTTGAATTGAGAATGTTTCAAATTAAGAATTAATTAAAAATGTGAAAGACCTGGCGAAACTGTTCGTATAAAGGAATCGTATGCTATTTTCCTATGTAACCTGTCTAGAATGGATTGCAGTAATAAAAACACCCCATTTACTCGTATAACAAATTTAACAATTCCAGTGAACAAAAATAATAATTTTGTAATGTAACATAAAAACTATTTGTTTCAGAATCGAGCCAGGAAATGGAACCATCAAACTAAGTGTCTTCAAATATTGATTATAACAAAGTTATAAATTACAATTAATGCTACCTATTTCTATCAGACTTCATTCTATGACATATCCTATAAAATAAGAAATTCTTGCCAATTACATGTAAACGAGGCTTATTTTAGCGTTATTATCACTTTTATTTCATACCTAACCTGTACATAAAACTAACAGGTTAGAAATTGAACGTAATAATAAAGTAACAAGTGAAGAAACGTGACCTGATAACGAAACCACTTCAATTCAGGATCACCTAGTAACACACAATTATGTAGTAATGGAAAGACACACTCTTTGCAATCAGAGGGCCGAGTGCAAGTTTATTTCACATCGAGTGGCTCTCAACGGCGAGCGCGTTTAGCGTTGTGATTGGTGAAGATTACAGTGCGGGCCAATCGTAGCGCCGAACGCGGCCACCGTGACGATCGAGTAGAAGTGAAATAAACTCGCATTTGGCCCTCAGCTTACATTATCGGTCGCGTTAAGTTCTGGAATGCGTGTACCATTGTGTTTTCTACATCATTAAAAGACACAGATGGACAGTGGACTCGAAGAAGATAGTTGGTTTGGTCAGAATATGTTAGGCGGAGGCCCGCGTGTAGTGGCGCACATTTGATGAAGCATATGTTCATCAGTGGATAGTGATAGGCTGATTGATTATATGGAAATAAAAGAACGACCTATGTAACAAATGCTTTAGAGACTCGAATGACAGAATCAAGTGTCTAGGAACGCTGCGCGATAAATGTTATTAGCAAAACCCTATGAATAATAAATTATTATATTCGTAAGCAAAACCTAGTGTTAATTTCCATAATATTAATACAGAGGTAGTGTTTCTTCATATATTACTTGTTGACGTAAATTGTACTTGAATTATCGCAACACATTTCAACAATATCACGATCTAAATGTTAGTCAGAATATGAAAGCCATCGAAGCTTCGTAGCCGAAAATAGGAGATAATTGCGTTGGTAAAGCATATTTTAAGGCTCATTATTATGGTACAGAGTTATTTATTAAAAGGACAACTGGCTACTTATATGTTACAATAACAAAAATTTAATAAATAATCCATGAGTCGACTACGTCCCATGTGTAAGTATTGCAGTAGTAAAGTTTGAGACAGTCAGCGAATGATAAAATTATGTTCTTTACATTTTGTTTACATATCAATTCTAAATCAGAATTTAATCTAAACCAATAATTTTTAAAGCCGGCTACCGTATGTTTTTATAAATGGCAATCGTTTTGTGACAATACTCTTTTACATTTAGAACCTGTTAGTTACCTGGCCGTTTAAACCCATATTAAAAAGAGGCATTTGATTGGTACTACTAGAAAAGCTAGTCGATTTGATTGAATTTGTAATGAAAGTGGTTTATTAAAAACGGAAAAGACCTGGGCTGAGGAGATTTTGGATCAGCGAGTTTACAATAATAATAGGACCGCGCCAATAAAATCTTCATACTATATTTAATTCTTTTATTGATTTTCATTAGTTTTTTCACCACCTTGTACACAGTTGATAAAATCGTACTGATATTGTTGAAATACGTTTAGCGATACTTATTTAAGGTATATATTACAGTTATTTTGTTAAAATTAATATGGATGCCACTAGAAGAGCTATTTTTCGGTGTAAAACGAGAACATATTTCATTATTGTTAAAAATTATTAAAATATAAATGTTAAATAAATATTAGATAGTTTCACGACAAATATTTTCAATTATAAATGAATTTGTAGATTCATAATTGTAACTAAACACTTTACATTTAAATTGTAATGGATTTTTACACTTTTTTTTATTTGATTCACGTATTAATAAGTTATGTCTCTAATAATTATAATTTTGTAATATTCAAAATGTTATTAATGTTGTGGTGATGAAATTCATTTTAAGGGCATATTAATTTACTTTTCTAACTTGTTTTTCTTTAAAATAAATTGACAAATAAATAATTATAAATCAATTATTTGTAACTGAACCTTCAAATTATTTTATTATATACATATGTACTTACAATAAAGTCCCAATACAAATATAAAGTTATTAAATGTAATTTGATTTTATTTTAAGTATATCATATTTTATTTTATTAAGTGGACATTTTGTGAGGGCTGGCAAAATGTAAAACTTTATTGTAATAACAATAGTGAAATGAATATAAGCAGTTGTCAATTTTCATGTTGATTTATTTTAGATTGTAAGTCCCTTGTAGTGAATAAATTGTGGTTGAAGATCAATTCAAAAGACCTGCTCCTCAATTCTGCTATTTTATGTTCACGCCAAGCCACTGTCATACCACTGACACTTCTTCAAAAAAACGTAATATATTTTCAAATTATAATCAAATATTTTATTTATTTTTCCAAATATAGCAATCTTTTTGATATCTCCACTGATGAGCCACTGCCATTCCATCGCCACTGTAAAGACACTGAGTTAGTGTAGACTACCGATATTTCCGATGACAATGGCCACTCGATGGCATCTCAATAGCGTGTCGGTGGTATGATAGTGGCTTGGCGTGAACATAAAATAGAAGAATTGAGGCCCTGTACCATACCATCTACTATATTGGTGTGGGAAACATTCATGAAATCAGGCAGGGAATCAATGTAGGCACTGTTAGATTTGCTTTAAGATCTTTAAAGCTAATCTTATATGCTTACTTACTTTTACTGTGAAATTACGAAATTCGAAAACTTTCTCTTGCAAGAAGATAGCCTGTGAATAAAACAATGAGACAGCGATTTCATCAGTGATGTGCGAAGATGCGTAGTTTGTACTGTGTTTGTTAAGAACCAAAAGGATCATTTCATTTACCTAGCTTCGCTCAACACAGCTCTGGTGGAAACGGTTCAGCGGTTTGAGGTAGTTGTACATACAAACAAGGGATTAAGTGATCCTCTCACCGCTTCCTACTACACTGAGTGTTGTGGGATCAATTCCCACATGGTGTGGTCATCAGAATGTTGTTCTGAGTCTGGGTGTTGTGTCCATATGATAAATATTTGTAGTCCAACACCTGCAACACAGGATACAAGTCTTGTGTGGAAGTTGTCTTTTTTAAAATAACAAGAAAAGATAAAAATAAGTTGCGTGGGACAGCCACACAGCATACAACCTCGCTTATCTGAGAAGAGCACGCTACATGTTCTCGCAAACTCACCTAGCTCAAACATCTCTGGTTGAAACATTCACACCGTTTGCGTTACTACGCATCCTCGAACTGATAAACTACCTCGCACATTTCTAGAGAAAATGCAGTCTAAGGGAAGTTTAAAGTTTCTCGCAAGTGTACGCAGAAGTCACACTCTCACGCCTATATCTCTGAAGAGGTAGACAGAGGAGTATTAAACGCACAAATTTTGTCGACTGTAATAACATTTTAGTACCATTTATGTAAAAGGGTCAAGTCTATTTCCCGTCAACTCGGCACTAAGAATTAGAATGAGAAAGTTGGTAGTATAACTGTAGAACATGTGTAAAGTCTACTTCGGTTAATATCTAACTTACGAAAGAAGTAAGAAAGAGATATTGCTTATTGGGATAGATTTGGGAACTTAACCGATGGCTCTCGCAATTCAAGAACGCATGTGTGAAAGCACTTTTTTCACGGGAGACTTGAAATATTTGTTTCGAACGTGGAAATGATTTGGAATTTAAAGGACAAGATTTGTATACATTTTTATTGGCAAAACCAATACCTACGAGTGGTCGATGGTCAATGTCCGCGGTCAGCGGTCAATGTGGGCAGTGGTCATCGTAAGCAGCAGTCGACGTAGGCAGCGGTCGACGTAGGCAGCGTTTGACGTAGGCAGCGGTCGACGTAGGCAGCGGTCGACGTAGGCAGCGGTAAACGTAGGCAATTGTCAATGCTGTCAGTGGTCAATAATGCAAAGCACTATTCATTTCCCAAATACTAGACGAAATTAGTTGCCTAGCTCTACAAGTGTTACTTTACTTGTTGTGTTGTAAAGATTTATAAATAGCAACAATTTTACTAACTTTAAACACATCGAGTGGAACCTGAACGATGTTTGTGAATTTGAATCCACGTTAAGTTTGTAATAAGTAATATAAAACTGCTAAGAAGTACTGTGTATCAGGAATATTGGGTTTATACATAATATAAATAATACACAAAGTAACTTCCTTGTATTTATTTTTCGTATTAAAATTGTTTCATTTAATAAATCCATGATGTTTATTAACGCAATACAGTAGTTATATAACGCATCGAAGCCATGTCCACCTATGTGTATGATATCATTAACATTCTCATTAAGACTACTAAACGTACCGATGTATGGACTGCGTTGCACACACTCAAACACACACACACATGCGCGGGCGCAGCGTGACAGGCCGCCATCTTGGATTATGAAAGTACACTTACATACACAAGTACACGCAGAAATTGTTAGATCCATTTATCAGTTTTTCATCGTGAACATATAACGTTTGTAGACTAGGTTTATTTTGGTATTAGTCGTCGAAAATATCTCCGAGGTTGGTTAATATTATTGAGTACAGGACGACCTGCCACACTGCTCGTTGCAATATAAATATCACAACACCGAACCAAGTTCTTTAGGATGACTTTTTGACAATTATAACAAACTCTATACATTATAGTACTAAATTACAAGTAATTGATTCAATAATATTATTTATTACAATGCAAAAGGTTAATATGGATTATTTAAAAAATAAATCGATACAAAACTTTAGCTAAACAGCTGATTGTAGTCAAAAAGGCATGCTATTGTCAAAATGCCACCCCAAGTATACATTTGTATTTTAAGGCCGTGAGACTTCTACATGATTCATTTATGTATATTTGCACGAGTAAAACCGGATGGATAAGCAAAGTAAAAACACAAATCGTACAATTGTTACCTACAAGCAATAACCGTATAATATAATAAATTTGTTAAATGACATCTACAACACATGTCAACAAAACGTCATTCGAACGTGACGCTGATGACAGTTGTTGTGAATGTTTGTCTGTCGAATGTCGAATACATTGAGTGTCTGTTGCAATAAAAATAAAATACAAGAATTGCTTTTTGTTTATTTTTTTTTCTCCTTTTCACTTTTGTTGTCAGCCTTACTTAAAACTATTAAGTGTTGTATACAAATCCAGAATATAAAACCCACATTACAACAATGTACTCAACAAACGCCAGATAATAATTGGAAAAAAACTACTATTATTATTATTATGTGAAAGAAAATATTATGGAATATTATACAGTTTAGGAAAAAGGGCCATCCCCTTCGAGCCTAAGTTGCAGTCAGGTTTTCATACAAAATCACTAAAAAACAGGAAAGTAATTCAACTCTAAAATGATGCATCGTTATAAATCTCAACACAATAAAATATTTACTACAAAAAACACTCGTATGAGAACTTACCCGCAACTTTGGACTCGATAATTAATTTACAATAACTATTAAACGGTTAGAATCTTAATTTCAGTTTAAAAAAACTAGTTTAACGCAACCGATTCAAACCTCATATCAACTGAAATGGTACAACTAACTACATTTTTTAACATCCTATAAAAAGCTGATTAACATTGGATGCTAACTACTTATAATACAAAAATTTGTATACATATATAATGTTAAATAACTTAAATTACATTATTGTAACTTTATTAAGCATAACTTTATTTTCAACCCCAAATATATACTGTTTCGTTTCCCTTTCTTTTCTGAAATTTCTAGAATTTTAACTCTGTTGTTGACAAGTATATTTTTTAACATTATTTCTAGTGTCGTCATTTCTAGGTCACACGTATTTGTGTTCGAATATGACTGTGTGCGCATTTCCGTTGTCATAAGCCAAATAACCATTACTACATATGGTTTACCAATTTCATACTAAACCTATGAGGATCACATTCGAACACAGGCACGCTTTTGTCTCTTTCAAACACAATGTTTGTGAATGTATCCGCGTGAGCTAATAACGCAGAGCTTAACAACAAATGTGATCATTTAAAACCAGAAGAGTAATCACATTGATTATTACGCTACTATATATTAAAAATCAACACGATTCTCGTCTTTTGATAATCATGATACTGTTTTATAATACGATATCACGAATAATTATATAGTTCTTAAAGATGACTTAACAAAATACCTAATTCAAGATATCCTGCCACTCAGATATAGCAGCTAATATATAAGAATCAATATACAAGAAAGCTACATTTATTCCTATATAATAGAAGGTTAACTTAATCCGTTATTTGTAGAGCAAAACTGCTTTTTGTATAGTCGTCAAATAAGTGATATACAACTGGTGTCAGACTATCACCATTTCCAATTTAAGGTTATGCTGTAATGTACAATTATCACATAACGCAAACTGACAAAACAGATTTGATAACATTGTTCAACTAGTTGAGTTAAATGTAAGTAAAACAGATATTTTGTTGAAAATTATCTGCTTGTTGTAGTGGAAAGTGAAATAGTACACAATCACATTACAATTCGTCTTGTATAGTCCAATCAAAGGATATTTACACACCGGGAAAATGGTATAACTTTCTTTTGTGTATATTTTCAATAGTTATCTTCGTAAACAGATTATCTACGGAACAAGGAGAGGAGATTTCGAAGTTAGTTACATATCTTACAAGAGAATAATCAAACGTTACTCAAATATGGCGGTCCTTAGGCACCGTGCACCGCATAGACAGTATGAGTGGCACTTGAATATTTCTCCGGGTGACCTACCAGCAATAACTTATTTTCGACCCTTCTAATACAGAATGATTGTTCCTCAATTTAAATATTTGCCAAGTTGATATCAATAATACTCGATAGTTATAATCCTTCTAGCACAAATAATAGCAATTCTGGACATTGTAATAGCGTTTATGCACACTTCGTCACAAAGTTCATAATTGAATAAATAACATTCTCACATTTATTACCTTAGGGCTATAAACAACGCCGTTTTAGTACTTCTATTGAAATCGTACAATATTAAGTTTAGTTTAGTTTGTTGTTAGATGGTGTTAAAACTAATAGAAGGTACTAACATTACATACTAAACTTGATACAAGGACACTAATGAAAGCGAAGCAATATATACTGTTGACTTCCTACTAACTTCCGATATGGTATTCACTCAACCAGAAACAGTACTGCAACTAGACGATACGCGAATTACTTGACAAATTCTATATTGATGAATTTGAGCCAAGTATGTATCTTGTAGATAATCACACCTCATTCGAAGGACTATTTTCAGAGCTAGACCTATAACTTCATAAAATAGCAGTCTGTTTTATTACATTATTGTTGTTTTACTATTTTTAAGTCAACTTATAGGAAATGAATGTAACATCTCTTTTATTAGTGCCCTTTAAGTTTAAAATAAGTGGTAAGTAAACCAAAGTGGTATTTCATCAGTACATAACAATTTTCCATTGCGATAATTAATATAAATGCATTAATTTTATTATAAATTTAAATAATTTAGTTCTTTACATTCCGCCTCTTTGAATGGAATATTTAAGTTTCATTTAATATTAATTATTATGTCCATGTTCATATTTAATTATTGTTTATGTTAAAGTTTTGAATAGTTTAAATAGGTGATTATAATATAACAGTTTTCAAATTTATTATTCATTTTAGGTTATTTATTATGCATTTCATTAAAATGTATCAATAATAAACATTGTTCATTAATTACGAAATTTTAAATATTTGATCAAAATGTTTTATTTAATACTTTAATTTATCATCAGATTTGTATTGTCTCTGTTTAGATTCGCTAAATAGTTTTTTCCTTAAATGTAGCCATTTGAGACCTTTTCTCTACATTCTCGAAATTTTAAAACTTCATTGTTTGAAACCCTCATGTCTAGTCGAACTATTCAAAACTATAACAAACTATAATATTCCAAAGTAAGATACTTTAATTGTACCAGTTACATATTTAGAGTGAAGGACACCAATCATGTTTTCACGAATACATATTGGCTTAGCATTTCATTTCTAACTACTCAAAGGTATCAAGATTATGCGTGTTACCCTGTCCCTAGACTGGAAAGTATCAAAATGTATCGACTCCTCTATACGTTGAACGTTCCTACAAAAATTATCAACTCAAATTGAGTTTGAAGGTCACTGGAGACGGTTGAAATGTTTTTGACAGAAGAATATTATGGATTGTTACAAATACCTAAATGCAAGTCTGTCTTATGTAATTTATGGTACTGGTTATAAAAGGCTGGTATTTTAAAGTATTATATTCCATGTCTAGTCCAATTTGTTAGTCTATCTATTAACATTAGCACCTAAAAATTAAAAGGCATCACATACCGTAACGATGCTTTATCATTTTATATGTTAATACTTTTTTATAGCCAAGTAATAGTTAACATAAATTATACGACTACTAAACCTCCTTTCTAAGGAGAGGCTTATGTCCAGCAGTGGACTATTAAAGGCTGTTGATGATGATGATGATACGACTACTCTGAAATGAAATATTTTTCTGGGAGAAAAATTAGTCTACATGCTATTCTAGATTATAATCTAGCAGAACCGAACTGTAGAACCTTTCAGTTGTTCTTGCGTTCCTGTGTAACAAACATCCAAAGGACTCATTTATTTTTCCTTTAGGGGACAAAATATCTTTATAAAACAGTGTTGAAGGAAAATTAGAAACAACTTAGGATAATTTATCACTTTTTTTTGTAAATGATAATATTCAAATTCTTGAACCATCCTATCCTTTTCTTAACTATCACTTGGCCTTAATAAAATTGTATATTAAATCAGCACCTTAATAACCTATGGTTAAGTAAGATGTTACATTATTCCTGGTCAACAATAGAGCAAGCAGGAGTGGCCCTCTTCACTTGAAACGAGACTAGTTCATCCTTTAAACCACCATCTCTAAAATAAATAGTTACAATAATATATTTGCGGTATCACGGCGGCTAAACAAAACCGTTGTCAATATAAATTACTTCATAAATATAGCGTGCTTCACTCACAACCTCACTAGCCAATATATACGTCGTGAAAACCGACTGCATTTAATAACCGACCTTATCTAGCGTAACTTAGATAGCGTTCTGCAACGTCAAAGGGTGATTCAGGGTCGTCCCGTGACCGTTGTGCGTTGTGAAATCGTCGTCGAGAAGATTCGGTACTTCAGACATTTTGGTTTGGGTCTCGTTGGACATGCGCTCGGTTTGGATGAAGTTGGCCGAGATGTGGCCGACGCTGGCAAGTTGCGAGTTGCCGTTGTTGGGCTCCACGGAGGGTGCGTTGTCGTTGGCCGCTAGCTTGGTGGCCGTCGTCTGCTCTTCGGTTTTGTCCCCAGTCTGGGGAAATACGACAAAAAAGTTGTTTTTAATAGATTTCTGTTTGTAGTGAACATGTACAACAAAAGTGTCTAAGACTGTGTTGTTTTAAGACCTAGGAATACCTAGTAACAACGAAACCCTGATAGATGTTTTGGAGCTTAGAATATCACCACCCCTATTTATCCCGTGGGTGTCGTAAGAGCCGACTAAGGTAGTAAACTACGCAGGAATAGCACTGCAAAGAGAAGGAAAACTTGACACCTACCCTATACCAGCGTGGTATAGTAGGCCAAAACCACTTTTCTAAGTAGGGGCCTATATCCAGCAGTGGGCATGAAGACGTATAATATACGAGTATCAATATGTGCACTCACATCCTGTGTGTGGGACAGTCCCAGGAGGTCGGCAGTGACGTTCCCGTTGTTGGTGGCGCTGTGCGCTGCGGGAGCCACCGAACTCTCTTCCTCTACTCTCTCTGTGCTCGTCACTTCTACTGGCTTTGATTCTTCAGCCTGCAAATTATTATTAAAAAAAAATTATATGATATATGTTTAACTGTATCATGGTCTGATGAAATTGTAGTGCCACTCATGATAAAACCAATAAATACCATTTTAGATAATAGTTAATTTACGTTACCACATTTGTGTAGTCCATTCGTGTTAAGAAAATAGTGACTCATCGTTGTCCCCTGACCAAGTCTAGATTCCAAAAAGTTTTAAAGTTAAGTTTACATTGATTACTTATGAAATGGTTGTTCTTTGAGTTTTATATCAAATTTTAAAAGTGCATACTTTGCCTTTTTGTATTTACAATGTTTTTAAATATCTCAAACTCTATGATTTGATGTAACTGTGAAGAACGCAGAAACAAAAATTACGAATGCTTGCGGCGAGTCTAAAAATACTATGTATTCATAAGATTATTAAGAAACATATAAATAAAACACAAATAATACATTAAAATCATCTGTGAGAAAGACTACGCCTATCAATGGTTGATACATTAGATACATTGGACAAATGAAGCACAAAGCTTTCTTATCATTTGTTTACAGTCACAATAGATGTTATTATTAATGAAACAATCAAATAACATCCTTGTACAAATAACATCCAAATAAATAAACTTAAATCTATAAAACTTTTCTTTACCTTGAATACACTTATACTTTCGTTACGTCACTATTTTCTTAACGCAAATGGACTATGGTAGGAAAGGTCGTAGCAGACTTAAATTTAAACAATACAAAAAAGCAGACAGCGTGCTGTACTGTGTTACTGTAAAGTGCGTCTACAGAGTACGATATTAAGTCCATATTAAATGCTCATAGTTCGGTTGGGTGTGAGCGGAGCCGTTTAAGTCGGCTACTACCTTAGGTATAATATAACGAAGTGAGGCGAGTGACCTGTGCAACGTTGAGCGCCAGCAGGTCGGCGGCGGGCTGCTCGTTGCCGTTGTCGGCCGCTGCGGGCGGGGCCGGGGCAGGGGGAGGGGGGGGGGGGAGGGGGAGGGCCGGCCGGCGCGGCGACAGCTTGACTCTTTGACTTGTCCTCTTCTGCCTGCTGTCATATCGATTATGCATATATATATAGATCATTCTTTATTTGTACACCAGGGTTTTACAGACTATAGAGTAATTGACGAACGACGGATGTAATGTGCGAAGGGCGACCTTATAGCTTAGAGCGATTTCTTCCGGACAACCTTTGGACGGACTGGATTCATTGTGAATTTGTGATAAGTATATAGAATTTCAAATAATAAATAAGGTCTAAAGCATTTATTTACTATTTAAATCCGATAAATATCTAAATAGAATTTCTCGTGTAACAACTGATTATTATATCGAATATAAAAATAAAATAAATTAAAATAATCACACCAAATTAATATAAGCATTATACCTTTTTTTCTTCTTCTCTAACGTCGATGGACTGAATGCATAATAACAAAAAAAAATCGTAACTTCTACTGTTTTATTTGTGTTGTACTAGTTAGATTCGGATATGTACGACGCTCGGATAATTCCTAGTTACATTTCAAATAAGCGAACTTAAAGCCGGGAACACACTGATGCGAAAAGTATAATACAAAGGCCATATCATATAAAAATAATAATATGAGAATTTATTTTATGCAATGAAATGAATTTAATAATATTTTACGATACTATTCACCTGTGTCTGCACTGAATTATTTTTTTCAACGATCAACGATGAGATTCAATTATCGTGCGCTCGGTGGCGCTACTACAGCGATTTGCCTACTCGATTAAAGTGAAAGAGTGCGACGTACACTCGACGTTAATCGCTTGAATCTAATTAGTGTGGTCAGTTATTACATGATATTGCAGTGCGGTCATCATGATATTGCCGCTGTCGCCCTACTAGTGCGGCTCCGACTATCCGATATCATCTACCATCTAATGGCTGACCTATGCGTACCGTACCGTACGCGTTCATCGATAAAATTAAATGTGAATCGATTCGATCGACGTAAACGATTCGTAAGACGAGTTGAAATAGTGAGAGGAGCAGTAATCGTGTGGTACCTTCCTGAGGCGCGTGCGCGCCATGATGGCCTCGACGCGCTGCTTGCGCACGAGGCGCTCCCTCTCCTCGCGCTCGGCCTCCTCCCTGCGCAGGCGCTCGGCCTCCTCGGCGGCGCGGCGCTTCTCCTCGTCCTCGCGCGCGCGCGCCTGCCGCTCCGCCTCCTCGCGCACCTTGCGGGACGCCTCCTCGCGCTCCAGCTGCTGCTGCGCCTGCGCAACCGCACACACGTATGACACCAGCGCAATATTGTTCAATAAAAACTATTATTATTATTTATGTTAAGCAGACGGGTCACCCGATAGAAAATGACTGTTACCGCCTTGATGCCTTATTATTATGAACGTCTGCAACTCAGGAATCACAAACGCGTTGCCGGCCTTTTATTATTGATTTGAAACATCAAATACCGAGAGTCAGATTGTACGAGCTGCGCTTTACGTTGTACACACTACATTTGCGCTCGAGTGTCACATCTCCTATGTCAGCATTTCATTTAATTCGTTTTAAGATTCTAATAACTTTTACATAAAAAAAAATAGTAGCTATACAACCTTAACACCAAATAGTACCTACATGTCTGCCGACCGGTAGATAGGTTTGAGTAAATAAGTAGATATACTTACCTACTCATTTAAACATTATCAAACGTCAACAGAAATCTAACCCTAATACCAGATTACCTTCGAACCGGATGACTCTGATCAATTCTGATAATAATATAATACGAAGACCTAGCCAAGACCATTAATAAAAAGTTCAGTTATTGGGCCGAACGCGGTCGCCGTCGAGAGCAAGTTGATGTCAAATAAACTTTACACTAGACGCCGAGAACTAAATTGTACGTAGGGCATACTGAAAGTCTCTGGATCTAGCCACTCACAAAAACTGAATGAAAAAACAATTTATTATAGAATTCGAAAATGAAACTCTTTGGGAACATGTTACGTTTTGCCAGACTATCAATGTTTTTTCATTCAGTTCCGCAAATTAAAATCTGAGGGGGTTTCTGGATTCTGATAAATAAGACTAGATAAATTCATTTTGATTACATCATGATACATGACACAATTATGTGTCATGTATCATGTATCAAAATGAATCCAGAAACTTTCAGTATGCCCTAAGTATCATATTTTACAAAAGCAATTAGTTTTGTAAGTACCTCGATAGCTTTCCTAAGTTTCTCTTCCTCCATTTTCCTTTGCAGTTGTGCAAGTTCTCTAGCTTCCTCCTCTTCACGCCTCTGTCTTTCTTCTTCTTGTCGTTGCCTTTCGGCTTCCTCTTCCGCTTCACGTTGAATTCTATAAACATTCACATGTTTATTATAGAATATCTCATACATACAAAATTAAATATACTGTATATTTTCTAGTCTACGTTTTATTTTTTATGGTATAGGGTGGCAAACGAGCGCAAGGATCACCTGATGGTAAATGACTACCGTCGCTCATAAATGCGTTGCGACTATCTGTGCCCCCTCCTCAGATTCGAGGGGGTTGAGCTCCCATAATAAAAAAAAGTTAGAAGACTTCACGAGAACAGGTATGTAACCCTAACATGTTTGCTGAGTTCCTATTACTATCTTCCTTTCTTACATTTTTTTTTTCATTTCTATTTGTTGGCACTAAAATAGGCTAGCTCGTGTATTTCGTGAGTGAAATTCAAGTAAGTGTATTTTATTCTCACCTATGCAAAATACTTTTACCGTATTTTTATTTGTGTCTGCCACAAAATGGAGTCGTACGAATAAACACCAAAATTGTAATTTTTAATTATCAAATTAAGAAGAGAGAATTGGTATTGCGCAATGCAGGATTTGAGTTATTATTTTTAATGGGACTAGGGATTCCGTGGGAGAGATCTCATATGTTTACTACTGTAGCTCCTATACATCAGGACCAACAGTAGTGATCACATCTAACAAGTCAATTCATAAGTCCCAGGAAAAGTTAAAGTAATGACATTTGGGTAGTCTCAGGAAAAGTTAAACTTTCTCGGAACTCACAACGAAATAACTCAAGTAAATTTAGAGAAGTTGGTAATCTTAAGTAAAGTGCAGTTATTATGTAGTGGGAGATATATGAAAGGCAATTCTTGTCATAGAAATTCGGTCTTAATCCAGTTCCGATCGACGATTTCGTAGTAAAGTGTTAAACACCAATGTTAACTGTAATGCGATTAATCTGTAATGGGTTATCTGCAAGTCTTAGAAATTATTTACTATTTCACACTACGAGAATACCTTTTATGGCAATTGCGAGATTTAAATTTGATCCGAAATGAATTTTGACCGAATTTTTTTTTAAGAGGGGGTTGGGCAGACGAGCCTACGGGTCATCCAAAGGAAAGTGATTACTACCGACCATGAACGCCTGTAATTCAGGGGTCACAAACGCGTTACCAATAGGAAGGAGTACCCCCTCTTCAGTTAAAGGTTTGAAGGTCGTATCGTGGTCGATCGAGTAGAACAGCGCGGTGTGGTACCTCTGTCGCTCCAGCTCGGCCTGCCGCTCGAGCTCCTCGCGCGCGCGCCGGCGCCTCTCGGCGAGCGCCGCCTTGGCCTGCTCCTCCGTGGTGATGCGCCGGGACATCGATGCTGCACATACACATCACATCACTACACCGTTACCGCATACTACACCACCATTACATACCTACTACATTTTTTATGTATACGTTTAGAATCACTAAAAAGTAGGAAACCATAACGATGAATTGACATATCATGAAATTTTTTCATTTACGTTGTTGAGGAGTAGAAAATTCTATTACTTTCAATGGATGAAAAAAACTTTTGTCCGGTGGCACAAAAGTTTTTACCGAACAGTAAAGTATATGTAACTCGAACCGATTAAAACACCACAGTTTCATAAGGTCTTATTACGAGGGCCTAAGAGGAGCCCTTGAAAGAATGTAAAATACCTAGAAGCGATTACTTTCTATTAAAAAAGTGAGATTAACACTCACCGGTCATTTCATTTTCATCAGTCTTCTCAACGGAGGATTCTTTCTTTTCCTCCCTTTCTTCTCTCTTCTCCTCTTTCTTTACAATCTGGCTGACTGTCTCTTCTTGCTTCGTTACCTGTGTTACTTGCTCGATTTTCGATTCCTGCTTATCTTCTACTGCTTCTTTGATTTCGTTCGCCTTAAAAATAGCAAAAATTTTATTACACAACATTATTTACGGAACGTACAACAGATTGCGGATTTTGACATCCTTTGGAACTCTCTGTGAAGCTGTAATGCTCCACATAGAGAACGCTGAATGGGATCGGGATAGAGCCGATCCCGAGCTAAGAAGGCGGCGGCGGTACAAACCGCCGACGGGACCGCGAGCCGCCAGAGAGTGGGGACCTCTGGTGGCAGATTAATTGCTGCAGTAGGTGATAAATAGAATGGCGGCCTGATAGCACTAAAAACTATTTAGGTGCGGCTTCGTTCTATGGGGAGGGGATATATACCTGAAATCACATGCCCTTTTTTTTTCCGTGCGGAAATCCCCTCGGATACCACCTATCGGTGGCATGTCGGACTCGAACCGACTAAAACCGCACGCCGTCTCGGGTACTAATAGGTACCAGGTATACCCTAGAAAGGAAGTCCCTGGTACCAGAAATCACATGCCCTGGGTTCTCTTTAAAATATGGATGGATCTCTGGCGCCTAGGGGCCTCCCAAGGCGCCAGAGATCCAAAGGGATTTTCCACCATTTTCTGTAGAAGTTGGCTAACCTTATGATTAACGTGTGCGTCCCCGTTCTGTATCTGTAGCGCCTCCAGCTTCTGCGTCACCTCCACAGCGTCCACCTGGCTCTTCGCCACCACCACTGACGTCACACCGCCCCCGTCCACCACCCCCGCCGGCGTCTGGAGTACGATATCATTTATAAGTAAGTGTTTCCTAAACTACCACCATGTAGCTACTTACCTATACACTTTTGATAGCTCCTCCAATGAAATTAGATGACGAGAGAAAAATTATGTAGACAAAAATAATCGAAATGTGTTACTGATATGATTTTTGTAAAAGAAAAAAAAAGGACATAATTTTAGAACAATTTATACATTTGAACGAGACTTATAATCTAGGGACGATGTGCGATCTCTTCCGTGGAGAAGGAAATTAAGGATGGCATGGGGAGTTGCAATTTTATAGTACGATACGACATATATAATGAATTACATAGCACACTGAATACACACATACACTGTTAGGCACACATATGCACTACATAAGGTAGGATTCATTTAAAGGCAAGAATAAGATGTGGGTACACACAGGATGTAAGGCCATCAGGATCCTCTCATCGCTCAACAATTTAGGAAATCATCCTTCAATATTTTTTTAAAGTTAGCGAGTGTTTGTGCTCGTCTATTAAGAATTTATTTTTCAATAAGTTGTTTTATTATTATTTTATTTATGACCAAATCACAATCACAGGTGAAACCGCAGTGACTAAAACTTTTAAAGTAGCAATAATTGTGGCATTTAGTCCGCTTTTGTACAATGAATTGTTGTTTGTGCAAAAAGAATTAAAAAAAAATACATTTCCATGTCCAGTCCCCATACTATTTTTTTCATATTATGTGGAGTGTGGATTACGTTATTATAATCCTTATAAACCCTAGAAGAGGAATGAATAAAACGAAGCGTGTACCTTAGTGACGTCCTTCTCAGCGCTGGGATCCTTGATGTGTGCGGGGTGTGCGGGGGGCGCGGTGTGCGCGGGGGGCGGGGGCGACAGCGCGCGGCCCGGGGACGCCGACAGCGACTTGCCGCGCGCCGCCTGCGCACGCGCACACGTTACATACGGCTACGTCACAGCTACGCCACTCGATTCAACTTTCGCATTCTTTCATATAATTATCCAACCGTTTGGGCCTAATCGTATCAGCCGCAGTAATAAACTGACTGGCGACCAATTTTTAAATACATATGTTTCGATGGCGGTAGTCGTGACTTAGAATATACATGTATTACTTATTTAACTTCTTGGCAATCTTCTATCTTAGTTTAATGTTCACTTACCTTATCGTGTTCTTTGGATGGCTTTGGCTTTCTGTGTAATGGCGGCTTGCCTTCGCCCGGCACTGTCGGCGGTGCTGAAAAATATAATAGTTAAGTTAGTTTATTTACTATTTTTTCATTATCCTTACTTCCCTAACGGTGCGTTAGACCAACGGCCGCCCATGACCTGTGTGCTGTCCCGCGACACGCTCGGCGTGCTCGCGCAACTGTGTGGGGTGTGTCCCGAGGAGCCCGCGGTACACTCACCGGGTTTGCTGTGTGCGTGTAGCGAGTTGGGGCGGGGGCGGCGCGGCGTGGTGTTGGCGCGTCGAGGCACGTCCCCGCCGCCCATGACCTGTGTGCTGTCCCGCGACACGCTCGGCGTGCTCGCGCAACTGTGTGGGGTGTGTCCCGAGGAGCCCGCGGTACACTCACCGGGTTTGCTGTGTGCGTGTAGCGAGTTGGGGCGGGGGCGGCGCGGCGTGGTGTTGGCGCGTCGAGGCACGTCCCCGCCGCCCATGACCTGTGTGCTGTCCCGCGACACGCTCGGCGTGCTCGCGCAACTGTGTGGGGTGTGTCCCGAGGAGCCCGCGGTACACTCACCGGGTTTGCTGTGTGCGTGTAGCGAGTTGGGGCGGGGGCGGCGCGGCGTGGTGTTGGCGCGTCGAGGCACGTCCCCGCCGCCCATGACCTGTGTGCTGTCCCGCGACACGCTCGGCGTGCTCGCGCAAACTGTGTGGGGTGTGTCCCGAGGAGCCCGCGGTACACTCACCGGGTTTGCTGTGTGCGTGTAGCGAGTTGGGGCGGGGGCGGCGCGGCGTGGTGTTGGCGCGTCGAGGCACGTCCCCGCCGCCCATGACCTGTGTGCTGTCCCGCGACACGCTCGGCGTGCTCGCGCAACTGTGTGGGGTGTGTCCCGAGGAGCCCGCGGTACACTCACCGGGTTTGCTGTGTGCGTGTAGCGAGTTGGGGCGGGGGCGGCGCGGCGTGGTGTTGGCGCGTCGAGGCACGTCCCCGCCGCCCATGACCTGTGTGCTGTCCCGTGACACGCTCGGCGTGCTCGCGCAACTGTGTGGGGTGTGTCCCGAGGAGCCCGCGGTACACTCACCGGGTTTGCTGTGTGCGTGTAGCGAGTTGGGGCGGGGGCGGCGCGGCGTGGTGTTGGCGCGTCGAGGCACGTCCCCCGCCGCCCATGACCTGTGTGCTGTCCCGCGACACGCTCGGCGTGCTCGCGCAGCTGTGTGGGGTGTGTCCCGAGGAGCCCGCGGTACACTCACCGGGTTTGCTGTGTGCGTGTAGCGAGTTGGGGCGGGGGCGGCGCGGCGTGGTGTTGGCGCGTCGAGGCACGTCCCCGCCGCCCATGACCTGTGTGCTGTCCCGCGACACGCTCGGCGTGCTCGCGCAACTGTGTGGGGTGTGTCCCGAGGAGCCCGCGGTACACTCACCGGGTTTGCTGTGTGCGTGTAGCGAGTTGGGGCGGGGGGCGGCGCGGCGTGGTGTTGGCGCGTCGAGGCACGTCCCCGCCGCCCATGACCTGTGTGCTGTCCCGCGACACGCTCGGCGTGCTCGCGCAACTGTGTGGGGTGTGTCCCGAGGAGCCCGCGGTACACTCACCGGGTTTGCTGTGTGCGTGTAGCGAGTTGGGGCGGGGGCGGCGCGGCGTGGTGTTGGCGCGTCGAGGCACGTCCCCGCCGCCCATGACCTGTGTGCTGTCCCGCGACACGCTCGGCGTGCTCGCGCAACTGTGTGGGGTGTGTCCCGAGGAGCCCGCGGTACACTCACCGGGTTTGCTGTGTGCGTGTAGCGAGTTGGGGCGGGGGCGGCGCGGCGTGGTGTTGGCGCGTCGAGGCACGTCCCCGCCGCCCATGACCTGTGTGCTGTCCCGCGACACGCTCGGCGTGCTCGCGCAACTGTGTGGGGTGTGTCCCGAGGAGCCCGCGGTACACTCACCGGGTTTGCTGTGTGCGTGTAGCGAGTTGGGGCGGGGGCGGCGCGGCGTGGTGTTGGCGCGTCGAGGCACGTCCCCGCCGCCCATGACCTGTGTGCTGTCCCGCGACACGCTCGGCGTGCTCGCGCAACTGTGTGGGGTGTGTCCCGAGGAGCCCGCGGTACACTCACCGGGTTTGCTGTGTGCGTGTAGCGAGTTGGGGCGGGGGCGGCGCGGCGTGGTGTTGGCGCGTCGAGGCACGTCCCCGCCGCCCATGACCTGTGTGCTGTCCCGCGACACGCTCGGCGTGCTCGCGCAACTGTGTGGGGTGTGTCCCGAGGAGCCCGCGGTACACTCACCGGGTTTGCTGTGTGCGTGTAGCGAGTTGGGGCGGGGGCGGCGCGGCGTGGTGTTGGCGCGTCGAGGCACGTCCCCGCCGCCCATGAACCTGTGTGCTGTCCCGCGACACGCTCGGCGTGCTCGCGCAACTGTGTGGGGTGTGTCCCCGAGGAGCCCGCGGTACACTCACCGGGTTTGCTGTGTGCGTGTAGCGAGTTGGGGCGGGGGCGGCGCGGCGTGGTGTTGGCGCGTCGAGGCACGTCCCCGCCGCCCATGACCTGTGTGCTGTCCCGCGACACGCTCGGCGTGCTCGCGCAACTGTGTGGGGTGTGTCCCGAGGAGCCCGCGGTACACTCACCGGGTTTGCTGTGTGCGTGTAGCGAGTTGGGGCGGGGGCGGCGCGGCGTGGTGTTGGCGCGTCGAGGCACGTCCCCGCCGCCCATGACCTGTGTGCTGTCCCGCGACACGCTCGGCGTGCTCGCGCAACTGTGTGGGGTGTGTCCCGAGGAGCCCGCGGTACACTCACCGGGTTTGCTGTGTGCGTGTAGCGAGTTGGGGCGGGGGCGGCGCGGCGTGGTGTTGGCGCGTCGAGGCACGTCCCCGCCGCCCATGACCTGTGTGCTGTCCCGCGACACGCTCGGCGTGCTCGCGCAACTCTGTGCCAGTGTGTCGCCACCACCTACACACCATCGAACGACTTAAAGGAATGAAGGATCACTATTTTGTATTTTTATAGATTTTAACACATTTAATTAAAGCAGTCACAATAAATAACGTTTCAAGAGACACTTTAAATATCATCAATATCTATTGTTTGTCTTTAAGATCAAATTAATAATAGACGTCTTTATAAAATTTAAAGTTTACTATCGAAATGCAAATGTAAAAATATCCACAACATTCAGAACATATATTATTATTTTGATATTTGGATGCTACAACTTAAAGTATTTAAATGAAAAACATAGAGACATATTTTCAAAATGTGAAATAAGTTCATAAGTATGAAGAATTTAATTGAAGTTAAACTTGAATGAAAAACAGTGTTAAGTTTAGTCACAACATCAATATATTACAAACAAAAATGCAACATAAATATTAAGGCAGTAAGTAATATTTAAATTATTTTATTAAACACAAAATTAATCATAATAATATGTTAGTCGTATATTAAAGAAACAAAATAAACTCTATAAGAAGAAGGTAAAGTTCATAATACTCTAACCTTTATTGCCAATTTCGGTTAATTTGAATATTGAACCTTCGTCAGACATGGAAATTAAAATAACGACACACACACATTAATCAACATCGACAGCAAATAGTTACTTATAAATTAGTAATGTATGTGTAAAAATCCATTCATTTAAAACATAACCTTAAATGTAATGTAATTAAAGATTATAATAGAATCGTAATTTTATAGAAACAGAATGAGAGTAGTGCCCCAAAAGTTCAACCCTAATGTATTGGGAATAAGGTATACCTCTAGGTGTATTGACTCCAGTACCGGCGATAGAGGCAGGTCTCGGCTTTCGCGGCGCTGAAGTTGGCCTTCGAATAACTCCCGTAGCATTGGATAGTGCGCTCCCCGGCCGCGATCCCGGCGTAGTGTCACCAGATCGCGTTTCTGTATACATCGATGGCTATGTACAGACAGACGGTAGCAGCGGTGATGTTAACAGAGCTATGGAAATGTGTGCTGTGCGATGGCATCGAGTAAAAGTGTGATGTACATTGGAATATCGATTTAAAAACTGTGCATTATACATGTGTGTTAGTTTACATTGCTGCGTTTATACAAGCTATTGAATACTATGCCGTAATAGCAGCCAATAAGAATCCTTATAACCCGATAGATCAAAGTGTGGTATTTTGATTGTGATGAGATGACAAAGATAAATTAAATAAAAATAATAGATAAAAAAAGAATGGTTAATACGGACAGAGTGTTAGAGTGTTTAATGTTTAAAGTTACAATTATGTACATATCAGTGGTTCAAACGCCAGGCTATCAAAGAAACGTAATATGATTACTCGCGTTACATTATCAGTTAATTTTTCACTTATCTGATTCAAAATGGGATTGATTGTTTTATCATAGCCCATTCGCGTTAAGAAAATAGTAGAGCATCGATTAAGCCCCGTTCCCTTACTAATCAGGTTCGAAAAAAATAGTTTTATTCGAAAGCGTGGAATCTGATTAGTCAGGATACAGGGCTTGACATAGGTCTTCGACATAACCCCAAAATATCATAAAACTCTTTATTGTTGATCTTGTATAATCTTATTAAATGTATTTTTTTATGTATATGTGTTGTATTGTGTACTCATGCAAATAGTTGTTAAATGAAATAGAGGGTAGATCAACAAAAAATAAAATGGTCATAGAGTGCATCATGAAAGGGAAGTGCCTTAAGTACTTTTTTGATTAATTTTTCGACGTACCCTCAATTTATAAAAAAATTAAAAAAACAAGGACAACAATTTAGAAAAAAATAGGACCACTTTCCACAAGTTACCACAAGCTAACCCTCGGCTTATTTCGGCAACAATCGATGTAATTTTGTGCATAACAGTCATTTTTTTTTCAACATTCTTTTTTTACAATTTTATTTTCTTATTTATTTTTTAACATTAAAATTAAACGGCAAAATGTAATGACTATGTTTTCAACTGCCATTTTTAAGGTTTACCCAAAATAAAATAAGATTAAATAAGTATTGCTATATTTAGATGTTTTGGGAGGTCAATTTAATATCACATATATCTAAGATAGCAGAAGGCTTGCTTCAAATTGATCTGCCTTGTTTCACTAGGTATTCGAAGAGACTTACATGGACAACGACCGGGGGAGTCATGCAGTTGCTCACAATCAAAACAGTAATATTTCTGCTGAACCATGGTAATGTGTAATTAAAAAAAAACTAATATTAAAGGGGATCTGGTTAAATACTCACGAAACGCAAAATCAAAAAAGTACTCTACACACAAATTAGTAAGCTTAAAGCTTTTAGTTACTCTTACCTTTACTGAAGAAATCACCAGAACACCACTTAATATTGTATGACCAGAGTTAAAAGACAGTAATAAATACCTTTTTAGTTGCAGTGGAGAGGAAACCTTAGCGACAAAGACAATGAATAGAGAAACCAAGCGACCCCACAACGAGAAAGAGAACGAAGAAGTCATTTTAAGTGATTATTTACAATGATTTAGGTGACAAACCTTATAATTCACATCACATCAGCCTCTAATAGTCCACTGCTGGACATATGCCTCTCCTTAGAAAGGAGGTTTTGGCCTACTATTTATATACCTTTTTATTACATATTATATACCTTATAATTATTAATTCTTTAAATTTCCAAACATAAAATTACAATAAGACGAAGGTAGGCACAGTAATATACAAGTCTAAGCCATATTTGATATTAAAACCAGGACCACAAAACCGTTAAGTATGTAAACCAATTTATTGGTAATTTTAACCACGTATGTGCATATTAGTCATGGATTTTTTTTTTTTTTTTTTTTTTTTTTTTTAATATTATTTTATATTAAATTTAAAGGAATCGAGTGTACATTTAAAGTCCTATGTCAAGTGATATTAAGATACTTCTCAAAGGTACTCCTTATAGCTTAACTTTTATTACGCGATGTAAAATCAGTAAAACATTGTTGTTCTTACATTCTTCGCTAGATGGCGTGGCCACAAAATAAGAATACTATCAATTTCTTAAATTGTTTTTGTCGGTATACCCTCAGTGTAATAAAACTTAGAGCAAAGATTCAAACAGTTTCGTATTTACTGCTAGCTGTCAAGTTTACGTCATTGGTTACGTCATTCGAAGACGCTAGTGTGAGTTTATTTAACTTCAAGTCTCCGTCGAGTTGAAGTGAAATAAATTCACAGTAAGCCCCCTATTTTAACCTATGAAAATTTATCTGTACACGTACTGCGACATGGCTTTATACTAATTCGAACACACAGGTTGTTTCATTATTTTGTCAATAAATTATGAATTTATACTGTTGGCTTTTTAAATATAATAATGGTAATCTTTTTTTTTAATCACGTTGAATGTTTCCTATTTTTAAAACGGACGACAGGAACACATGACAACAATCCCAGGACACCAATGAAAAGTACAAAGAACATGAAATACAAACATTTCGAACAAATATGAACAACCACAAAGGATATTTTTCTTAAATACGTAAAGTTGTATAATTGTTACTCAAAACTCACGTTTTAAGTAACAAAACAAACAAAAATAAATTAGTGACAATTTAAGCACAAATAATTATGATAAAAATGGCACCAAAACACAGCGTCCCAGTGTTGCCACAGCATTTGGAAATGCTTTAAGCACACAACTAATATTAGTGACAAACTAAGCTTAATTGCTTTTGGAATTAAGCACAAAATAAATTTTATTTCATATAGTTTAGAGCTCCTAGCCTGACATATGCACTTTACTGTTTTATCAAGACTTAATTTCATAAATAGAGTCTAAAGATATGTGAAGAGCAAAGCACAGACACGAATTCCTACTGAGATATAACGAAGTTTTTATGAATATAAAAACATAAGGGACCAGTTATCTAGTATTAAACTACAAACTAACCTAATATCACTCAAAAACCCACTCAACTCAACAAACTAAGTCTTTAATAAAAACTATATATGAAGCATTATTTATATGCACCTTAAACCTATAATATAAAGCTAGACTTAATTATCACTCAATGAAAGCACACTCTTAATTTGTTCTAGCATACTAAGCTTAGCATAATTTAAAATATTTTAAATTTATATATATTAGCTTACTTTGAAACGGTTGCCTACAAATATCACTGTATTTTGCTCACAACGGTATTGCAGCCAGCAATATTGACTAGGCACGACTGAATCTGATGATCAACAGACTTCAAATTTACAATTCAAAAATATTGTTTGTGTCTAAGGGGGTCCCCTACTAGATACTAATTTATAGGGTATAAGCTTACAATCATAACCCTTTTTTTATAAGATTTTCTTCGATCTTAGTTATTAGAACTCGGGTAGAAAACTGACAACTACCTATTGAGCGTATCAACATCGAACCCTAGCACAATAAACCCAAGCGAAGCGGACCCAAACAACCCAAGCCGTAGCACGGAAAGCTCGAAGCCAGAGGTCTTACGGGCCCTGTTGAGGTGATGCATGGAGGGCGAGGCCCAGTGCAGCGGGCGCTGCGGCGGCAGACGGTCCAGGCGAGTCATGGAGTAAGCTCTACCTGGCGCGCGCGGGGCCGGCACCGTCGGCACCAGGTCCGTGCGCCGCCGCGCCACCGACGACCACATTATCGGTTGAGGCGTGCGCTCGGGTTCGTCTGGAACACGCAAACATTTATGTACTACTTAATAATAGGGTAGATTCATGTGTTTAAAATAAATTATTTCGCCTGCATCGTTAAATGTAACATCTCAAAGTAGAACCTGAATTGTCCTCCATTATCAATTTAATGTCTTTATTGATTTGATATCTTGATATCAACATTAAATATAAATGATTTGACAATAGCTAGGTATGACGTCACGAAATAGTATTTCATACAAAAATGTACCGCGTCTAGCGTTTTGACGTTTAAAAAAAAGTAGCTGATTTGACTTGACAGTCATCTACCCTATTATATTCATAACTAGCTCAGACCCACGGTGTTACCCGCGTTTGTTGTTATAACCGCGGGCAACGCCGCGGGGCGAAGCTAGTCTAAAAAAAGTAGCCTAAATTACTCCTTATGTCATCAGCTATCTGCCAGTGAAAGTCCCGTCGAAATCGGTCCAGCCGTTCCAGAGATTACCCGGAACAAACAGACAGACAGACAAAAAACAAATAAAAAGCGTTATTTTAATATTACAAACAGACACTCCAATTTTATTTATTTGTATAGATCAAGTTATACTTATTGAGTAAAAAATGTTACTTAAAAAAATGTTTGTGGCAAAAGAAAGAACATTTTAGTGCTACACGATTTTCTAGTCAAATACGTATACACAAACACAAAGACAAAATCAGCATATTTATAGCCCTAACATAAACCCTGTTACCCTCCTTGAAAATGGCAGCTCCATCTCAAAAAAAAACTTCAGAGATCTTTTAAGCCTAATTAAACAACCTTCCCTTCATGCCCACACTCCTCAATCTCTTATATAACAAGCGAGGTTGTCAGCTCATTTATACAATATAATATGGAGATATATCGCCTTAGTGCACGACTTACATAGCGCTTAGCATAATCTTTTCTTAATCTTGTACAAGGTTACGACAAAATCGATTTCGAATACAATAGCTGCATGCTGGTGGTGACTCCTCACTTGGCGAAAAATTACTTTAAATTGGGGCACTTATATAGACGGCTAATTTCTTCAATTTTTGGCCAATGGAAGTTGTATTTAATTTGCTAAAGGGCAAATCGAAATGACTGTAGATAGATACAGAAAAAAGACAAATTGTCTGAATGAGACTGACCAACTTGCTGGGCAAGGCAGTATACGAAATAACATGGCGATTTATTTAAAAGATTCTGTCAGGTCCTTTAATTATTTCTTGCATCTAATAATAACGACTTCACACGTAACTTACACGGCTGTCCTATCCTAAACTAGGCAGAGCCTGTACTATGGTAACCAGACTGCTGATAAACATACATAAAATAACTAAATACATACATATTATAGACAAATGACACCCAGACACCCACCAAAAATGATCGTGCTCATTACACAATTCTTTGTTCTGGGTGGGAATCGAACCCATGAGGATCACTAACCACTGGACCAACAGGCCCGTCACATTCACCACCATTCTTGAAAAACGGAATACGTAAATACAATTGAAAAACTTACAGAAACTTGTGAACATCACGACTCCTTTTAATGCAGCATAAATGAGAAATAAAACAATTTTTAAACAAGAATTATATAAAAGATACTTCGTATTTAAAAACATTTTTGAAGAAATATTGGACTCGGTGTGTTCGTGGGTCACTGCTGTATGATCCTGGTGTACAGGAGTTACAGTGGATGGCGTGTGGGAGGCATTAGTCCCATTATAAACTTGGACTTGGCATAGGGGCAAACGAGCAGACGGGTCACCTGATGGTAAGTGAGTCCCGCCACCTATGAACACCTGAAACTCAACATGTCACAAGTGCATTGGCGCCCTTTGAGTTCTCGGTTCTCCTTTAGAATCAAGGGAGGTTATTTTTTAGGTTCTGGTAACCCGATTAAATTAATTATTTTATTAATTGAGTTTTATGGGATATGGAAATATAGCTAAAGTATTAAGTATTTGTGCGAAATGTTTGTAATCCATGTTCTTTGTACTTTCCATTGGTGTCCTGGGATTATGGTCACGTGTTCCCGTCGTCCGTTTTAAAACTATTTACGTTATTTAAAAGATAATTAATTAGCAAATACTACCTTTGTTATCAGTGTCAGATGTGTCCAACTGCAAGGCTGAGGCGCGTCTCGTGAGCGGCGCAGACGCGAACATCACATTTGTAGTTGATGCCGCCCTGAAACATACACAAGTTATATTGTTACATTTTGTTATAGAGGAACAACGTAATAAGAGTTATTTTCATGCAGTACTTTGTCCATGTAATTCTAAGAAAGTGTAAACCAAAAATAATTTTACGTGAAAGTTACGTAATTTTATTGTTGAATAGTTTGATATTTCTTTAATTATACGCTACGTATACAACCATATGTTATATATAAAAAGAGAAAATCAATATTTTTTTACTTAACAAGTATAGTAAAATAAAATGGCCACAACGATTAAATATCTATAGTTGTAGCTTATATCAACGCTTGCTGGCATATAAAACAAACTACATTTTTAAATGCCAGTTCAACTTTTGAAAAAAAATTCAAGTTTTGAAAAAATTTGAACAAATAATACAATATTGAATACTGGACTTGGAATAAAAGATTCGAACTAAACATGCACACAATAATATGATTTATTTAAACGTTATTCCGATGCATCAGGCTCTATTTACAACATACAAATCTACAAGCTAATTAAATATTGCGAGTCGCATTCTGCATCTTTTACATATTAATAACTAAATCAAATAAATTAAACAATACATTGTCCGGACCATATTTGCAGATCAGTCACTTACTTTTACTTTATAAACTACAATAACTATAGACACCTACATACCCAAAGATATAGTTTACAAGCTCTGCACCTCGTTAAGTTAAAAAGGATATGGTTCAATGCCACAAATTTGTTTTAAAATACTTGTTGTTGTTTGAGAACTGTAGGTACTTATATCAGTTATAATACCTAAAAATAAAATCATCCTCGTCATCCTCAGAAAGAAGCAAGTCCAAGTCAAACTGTCAAGCGTCAGTTGCGAGTCAGGATAGTCTTTTTTTCAACTCAAGAGCTACAAACGCATTTGAGGAAAGGTATAAACCTTCAAAAACACCGTGCAATCTATTATGTACCCTCTGAATTCCTAAATTTATGTTTTACCCAACAGGAACTAACCGTCTGACGTACCTAATAGAATAATTCATTCAAATGTCAGCCTTGAACAATTCCTATCTTTCAGCAATCGCATCCATTAAGTCGTAATATCATCATCATCAACAGCCTATAACAGTCCACAGAAAGGATGTTTTAGCCTACTACACCACGCTGGCCAGACGGGTTGGTATAGGGTTTGTGTCAAGTTTTCCTTTTCTCTGCAGTGCTGTTGTCCTGCGTAGTTTGCTCCTTAGTCGCCTCTTACGACGGGATGAATAGTGGTAGTGACACTCTGTATTCTTAATCCGTCACCACTATATGTATGTGAATATTTTAATTAGCATATACACCACTGATGAGCTTTTTATCTATGCTAGTAGTCTACATGCCATATGTACCACATCCAAGAAACCGTATCACCAACATAATATAGAACTTTCAAGACGGCTGACTAAGGCCAATCAATTGCATAACCTCAAATTAGCACAATACAATTTCCCCATTGACAAATTATCGGAAAGGCCATTGTTACAAGACAATGGGTACGTCACCACGTCTGTGGGGTCAGTGGACCAGGAGCGGAAGTCGCGAACGTGGCAGGATTGAGCAGAAGGATGTATAATTGCAAAAGCGTGGTCATCGATAATAATAGATTAATATTTAACATCTCTTACGAGTGCTTATTAGTCCTATAAAATATGAGTTTTTTTAACAACTTCTGCACTAGAAATATATTCCTGTGTTGCGGGGGAATTTACAAACATACATGAAACTGTCACAAAGAACACCCAAACTTAGGACAACAATTTGTGGATCACTCAAAGTGATGTCCCATGTGGGGATCGAACCCACAACAGGTGACCGCTTAAACCCCTACGCCATCCGTACAGTTTTTCTATAGTTTTTTTTTTATGGAACCTAGAGAGTAGGTACGCAAACGGCCTAATGCAGTTAAATTGCAGCATTTAAAATTGGGTTCTTCTTATTAGTAGAAAAACAATATTATGATTGTCGGCTGAACGCTTTATAGAGTAGCTACTGTTAGAATTCTTCCTCCATGGAGAAATTCTAATCCCTTTTGAAACTATTGCAAATTTCTCCTTTACCTAACTTATAAATCTCATAATAACATGTAACTTAGCATTATAATAAAAACAATACAAATATTGGCACATCCGTATAATGGTTAATTTAACGGTAGCTTTACTTAGGTTTCTAAAATATGGAGAGGTTATGTAAATACCGATACCGACGTAAATCAATCGAGTTTTGCACACGCGAGTTTCTGAGAGTTGAGACCAAATCATTAAAAAAACGATAAATTACGTTGCATTCTGCGGCAATTTTACAACCTACATTAAAATGTGACTGATAATGATGCGACAGAGTGTGTCACCCCTTCATAAAAGGCTCGCAAAGTATTTAGATGTTCGTATACTGACTAATAGTACCAATGCGAAAGTGAGTTTGGGCATGTGTAAGATTCTACAACTTCCGTGAGGATTCCGCGATTCTACTGATGTTATAAGGGGACAGAAACAGATGCACAGAAAGTAACACAGGATACATTTCTTCTTTCATAGGATACCAGAAGGAAAGGACTAATTCCAGGAGATAATTTTGTTACATATTTTTGACGAAATTTACAATCACGAGAGCGAAACCGCGGGAACAAACTGGTAGTAAATACAAGAAATAATACATTCTAAACACACATGTATTGATCTTGTATCTATTTATATATCATATAGCTTTTAAATATTGTACCCCAGTGAAATAATTCATAGTCTAGTAACTCCAGTACACTCTCACAGTAAGGCCGCAAATTACTGACCCACTTCCCTCCATTGACATACGACCGAGATCCGAATAGTACGTTTACTGAACCGGAAAATATTAGAACAACACTGTCATAAATTTACAGACAAAAATAGATCAGATATGTTTTATTATGTCATCTAAAAGGTATGTTGCGGTTCATTTCATGTATTTGGTTATACATTGCGTTACACGTTCGTTATAGCAATATAGTTGTACCCAATAAATAGTTAAATTATACACAAGAGAAAATAATTGTACAATCTGTAATTCCTTAAAAGAAATTTTGTATATCTCGTGGTCGATCTGTTATTGACTGCCTAGGTGGTGCTGTGGTAGCGGATGGGTCGGACCAAATGTTTTTATGATCTTGAAATATTTGTTTCGGAGTTTGGGTGTTTTCTATGTATAATATGTACCTATGTATGTATTATTGTACTTATCCTAAAAGTCAATTTAGCTTTCATAGTACAAGTTCTGCTTAGTTTAAAACTAGATGGCGTTGCGTGTTAGATGTCCAAAATACTATTATTTTGCCTATGTTCTACTAAACACATTAACACATATTAGTTAGGTAAAATATTTTTCCATCAGCTATTCCTAAAGTGAATTTTAAAGAATCTGAGGATGCCGTGGAAAAACTACCCACCAGGTTTCCTTAAAATTACTAATTAAATTCCTAATTAGGAACAAACATTGTATTGAAATTGCAACAAAATGTGCTGTGAAGAAGTTCGACTATTATTTGGCAGCCCGAGAGGATTTTACTTACGTATCTATAGTTAGTTTATCAATATTTACTTATAAGTTTAATCTTTAACTTCCCTATAAACTAGGATTGCCCAAGAATGCCAAAAAAATATTGGGATTTCAAGACTGTTTCGTTACCATAAAAGTTTCATCATCATCATCATCAACAGCCTATACTAGTCCACTGCTGGACATAGCATAGGCCTCTCCTTAGAAAGGAGGTTTTGGCCTACTATACCACGCTGGCAAGGCGGGTTGGTATAGGGTTTGGGGAGCACGGGGAGGACAATGTTCCGTCCGTCCGGGATTCGGAGGTAGGGGCGGCTGTTCTACGGATCCGTTCCAAGAACACCGCCCCTGGGCCAGACGGGGTACCGGCCCGAGTGCTGGCCCTGGCCCTCAACCACATGGCAGACCGCCTCGGGGAGGTGTTCGACGCTAGCTTGGCGTCGGGACGCTTCCCTGAGTGCTGGAAAAGCGGGAAGCTGGTCCTATTGAGGAAGCCGGGACGGCCAGCCGATTCGGTCGCGGCCTATAGGCCCATCGTGCTGCTGGACGAGGCGGGCAAATTGTTTGAGAGGGTTCTTTCTGCCCGCATCGTCCGGCACCTCTGCGAGGTGGGCCCCGATCTGTCGGACGCCCAATTTGGTTTTCGGGCGGGGCGTTCGACAGTCGACGCCGTGTTGCGCCTGAGGGCCGTGACCGAAGAGGCCGTGAGCTGTGGCGGCGTGCTGTTGGCGGTGTCATTAGACATCGCCAACGCATTCAATAGTCTGCCATTCAGCTGCATCAGGGAAGCACTCCACTATCATGGGGTGCCAAAGTACCTGAGGCGGCTAGTGGCAGACTATTTAGAGGAGCGTACCGTCGTGTACGAGGACCGAGAAGGTAATCTGAGGTGTCGGCCCATGTCGTGCGGTGTTCCACAGGGGTCTGTTCTTGGACCCCTCTTGTGGAACATAGGGTACGACTGGGCCCTTCGCGCCGATTTCCCCCCCGGGCTGGGTGTAATCTGTTACGCAGACGATACCCTCGTGACAGCCCGGGGGGCAAACTTCCAAGAGGCGGCGCGCCTGGCCACAGGGGGAGTCTCCCTGGTGGTCGGGCGCATTGAGGCGCTGGGCTTACGGGTGGCCCTAGATAAGACGGAGGCCCTGTTATTCCATGGGCCCCGTCGTGGTCCACCCCCTGGCGCCTCAATCGTGGTCAACTCGGTCCTCGTACCGGTTCGGGCCCAGATGAAATATCTGGGCCTGATCCTCGACGGGAGGTGGCTCTTCGACGAGCACTTCCGACAGCTTGCTCCAAAGCTGGTCGGCGCTGCGTCTGCCCTAGGGCGACTCTTGCCCAACATGGGTGGACCCAGCGTCGCGACAAGACGGCTGTACACGGGGGTTGTCCGGTCAATGGCACTGTACGGTGCACCGGTGTGGGCGGCGGCTCTGACCGCCCAGAACAGGGTAC